GAGTAAACGTATGAACGATTATAACTTAAATTAGTGATGACGAGAATGAAAAATGTCTCGTTTTCAAATAGTTTTTTTTTATTAAATGTTTAAGTTTGATGTATAAAATAGTAGTACCTATTTTTATGCCTTTCAATTAGTTTTTTATATACAACATTATTAACAAAAAAAAACTTAAAATTAAAAATTAAAAAAAAAAAAAATATATTTTTTATATTACAATTTTCACATACGATGTTAACATTAAAAAACCCACTTAAACGACTGCGAACTCACGTCGGCATGTCTTAAGGCGGCTTTAAGGTTAGGCTAAGTTTTGTTTTGTTTGGTTTTTTTTTTTAAATTTTTGTTTTAAACTGTATTGGCATTATTGCTCATACACTTTATTCGTTATGAAACCATAATTATTTGTAGGTTTTATATGTTAAGTTTAATTGTTTAAGTTTGATTTCTATAGTATAAGTAATTATTTTTATTTTATACGATATGTTTTATGTATAAAACATTAAAAAAAAAAAAAAAATTAAAAATTAAAAAAAAAAAAATAAAAAATAAAAAAAAAAAAAAAAAAAAAAAAAACATGTTATATTTCTGATTCACTTTAGAAATCCACATAAACCAAGCCATCAAATTCACTAATTATAGTTTTTGATAACGACGTGATGGCAAACATTCACTCGTTATTAAAACATAATTTCTAGGCTAATTTTTTATAAATACAAACTTTCAGTTATAAGTAATTCTTTAAGTTTAAATTAGTAAGTTAGATATCTCATTCATATGTTTATATTAAAGGTTTTAAACTATAATCCGTTAAAACTTAAAACCTTTCCCGACTTTCGTCATCAATTTTTTGATCGGCCAAAAATTTAATCCAATGTTTTTTTTCTAATTTTTCTAAGAAAACGAGTAGGTAATACCTACTGGTTTAGTTAATTTTCAGCAGTTCACGATACACCAATCTAATTTTTCTCGCTTTTCTATCATACTTTTCGAAAACCTTTNATACAAATTTTCAATTATAAGTCTCTCTTTAAGTTTAAATCTTTTCAAATATACCGTCGCCTCCTTTCTGTTGCCCATAATAATCTGTTCGCCTCTATTATTCTTTTGTATTAGTTTCCGTTTCACATCCATATGGTACAATGCTGCGGATGTAAATTTTTAGTAGGTTTTTTTTTCTGATTTGATTAATTTGAATATTCGAGATATCCATTTTAGACGTTCGCACACATTATGATTTGACAATTAAATAAAAAACGTAGAAAAAGTGTCTGTTTTAAGAGTATAGTTTTTATGCTATTGTTAGTTATAGTTTATTATTATGTTTAACATAAAATTAATTATTATTACGACAACCAAAAAAATAATATAAAATTCAAAAATTCAAAAAAAAAACTACATTGAAAATCCCAAAAAAAAAACGCAAAATTTTCAATTGGTTTGTTGTGTAATAGCATTATATGAAATAGTATAATAATAACAGTCTAAAATATTCATTGTAAAAGCTCTATGGAAAAACTTCATTTTTTTTTTACCCTGACCGTCTATTTTTATTATTGTTTTTACAGAAACATATTATTGTAAGTGAAATGTATTCCAAAATTAGCTTTATTATTACTAATAAAACACTGAATTACACAACGACCCATAGGTACTAGACCTATGTACTGTGAAATTATTATTGTATTGTAATATTGTGTCTCGTATAATAATTAAACTGTGCATATGTTTATTGGACCACACTTAGACCGTGTTTTTATTTTTATTCGCGCCTACTAAATCCCATTACCATGTATCCTATACACCGCTTCTTACTCTACGGCGCGGCTACGGGCCCGTGCTATAAATATTATTATAACCGTCGTCTCGGAAGACTTGGACCCGAAGAACACCGATGACATTTTAAAGATCACATCAGTTTTATTTTTCTTGTTTTATGAAACAAGTGAAACCCCTCCTTCACCCCTCCTTCGCCGCGGCGTTTTTATGTTATCCAAACATAACCCCAGCCTACAATGCAGCAAACGAAAAACACGCCATAAACGGATGGATTTTCGGTTGGAAATTAATATAACTGCCGTTATTTCCATAGCCCGGGCGTTTATTTTAAAACACTCACTGGTTCATTATGAGTCGGATGTGAAAATATGACTGTGAGTAGTGCTGCAGTATAGTACCCATTTCATATTTTATACAGCGGTCAAAGCGTCATCAAGACGACATCGGAATCTACAGCACAACCTAACCGAACCGAGACACTGTAATAATATCACTTATGATATTATTATGGCGTGTCGGTCTTCCGCAACGAACACAAAAACGATTGGATTTGGTGCTAAAATATAATTATTTGGAAACAATTTAATTGGATTTTTTGTGTACTTAGTGATCATTATAGACAACAATAATTACTGTTCGTTCACAAAATAATTTGTTGCAAATTCCAGAGATTGAGCATCAGGTTACTTAGGATTACAAGTTATTGACCTTAAATTTAATTTTCTAGTTGCGAAAAACACAGTTTAGCACACCGCATTTAACGTTTTGGATACAGTGTAATTGAAATTACTTTATTCCTTCATATTTTTCCGGTATTTAATGCTTATTGTATTTGTAAGCCCCTGCAGGGAAACTTTGGTATACTCAGTAACCAAAGCATCGGGTGTGACAATCCCGCAGGTCCCAGTCAATACTAGGGCTTACGATTTCCTACGGGTATTTAAAATACACGGGTACACGGGTAGACGTGTAATTAAGTATACGTGTGTTTTTAAATAACCGGATTAATACACGTGTTTTATAAATTCACATGTACACGTGTACTTTAAATACCCACAGGAAATCGTAAGCCCTAGTCAATACCTCGTTCGGGATCATCGGTCCCGTGAACGATACTTTCACGAACCAATGTTCGGAAAGTATCTTAGAGGTATAAACCACTGCAGGGAAACTTTAGTATGCTCGGCAACTAAAGCTTNCGGATTAATACACGTGTTTTATAAATTCACATGTACACGTGTACTTTAAATCCCCACAGGAAATCGTAAGCCCTAGTCAATACGAAATCGTAAGCCCTAGTCAATACCTCGTTCGGGATCATCGGTCCCGTGAACGATACTTTCACGAACCAATGTTCGGAAAGTATTTTAGAGGTATGAACCACTGCAGGGAAACTTTAGTATACTCGGTAACTAAAGCTTCGGGTGTGACGACCCCGCAGATCCCAGTCAATATTAGGGCTTACGATTTTCTACGTGTGTTATAAATACACGGGTTTCATAATTAAACGTGGACACGTGTATTCAGTAATACATGTTATCGTAAGCCCTAGTCAGTACCTCGTTCGGGATCATCGGTCCCGTGAACAATACTTTCACGAACCAATCTTCAGAAAATATTTAAGAGGTATACGGCCCGTTTCGGTTGATTCGGAACTGATCGGGTACAAAAAAATCCAATTTCACACATTGGTCGGGAACATCGGTAGCTAGTCACTGCCATGATATGCCTGTAAAATTTTTGTTCGAATCGTTTAACGTTTTTGCCAAAAAATACGTCTTCTAAATATATGTTGTCCTTGACTTTTAGTGGATAACTTAGTCCATCAGAAGTAAAGGGCAACATGTATCGAGTAGATGCATGGTAACAAAGTTAAACGATGAATCGAAAAAAAAGAAAAAAAAGCAAATTTAGTTAGACCAACTAAAAAAAAAAAAATCTGAAAAATGGAAAAAAAAATGTGTAAACACATTACGAAAAATGAAGAAAAATGTATTAAAAACAAAAATTAGGTCTGCATCTACCATCCGAACCCCGTACTCCGCGGACTCGAAGACGACGTTTCGGTCCCCGACGTTTCGTATCCTTATCATGAGTACTTTCTTAATGCCGCCGAAGACCGGTGAGCGACAATGACATTAGCGCCGGCTGCAGGGGATACGGACCCACGTTCTTTGACATCATGTACGGGGCCACCAAAGTGCGTAAATATTATGTTTGATTTTTTATAATAATATATTATTATATTTACGTGGTGTCAGTCTGTCTCCTTATGACCGCGGTCACTATAATTACTATTAAACGGTTTTCTTTGCGTACGTGTGTGTTTTGTGTAGAATGTCGTCGTATAGTAGCAAACGGGGTACCACAATCACCGTACAGTGCATTATGCCCGGGGTTATGGCCACCAAGGCGATCAAAATCGCCCGCTCCTCGTGGCTTGTCCTATCGCCAGACAGGTTCGTCCGATCCACTATGCAGGTCATCGAACTGGAAACGATCACCACTGGGTACTTCCCGCACGTTTCTAGTGTGGTTTTAAACATCGCGTTGGTTCTCGGGTAGGTGGCACAGAGTTCTCGTGACCGGCTCTTAAGTGAGCACTGCTGTTCTCTACTAACCATAGCGTTCGGCCGCTTTTGTTATTTTCTAGACACAAGCGATTGGACTTGACAAGAGCACTATCCGAATCGACAATGGCCCGGATGTTTACGAAAAAAACGCTAGGCCATACTCAAACAGGCTAAAGAACAGCAACTGATATCCATGTAGCCACTTAAAGCCATTGAAACGGACAACAACGACCCGCTTCGCACACGTCTCGTCGATCGCACTCTACCGTGAACCGGAGGTAGAATCGTTAAAAGTTAGTTCTTTTTTTTATGCCTAATTTGTTTGTTAATTATATTCGTCGTTTTTTATTATTATTATTATTACATTAATCAACATCATGTGAGATATCAGAGATAAAATTCTTAGGTTAAGGTATACCCAGGCACTTTTTTCTACGTTTTTTTTTTCACTAAATTTTCATTCCCATCGAATAATACATGTTGCAAACTAGATAATTTCATATAAAATAGTTTATAATATTAATTTTAATTTTTTTATGGCCAGCGTAATCAATAATAATTGTTTCGTTGACCATTTTAAATCTCTGTCGACAGTTGCTTATTTGCTTAGGTGTAATGGTAGTGTCGGAAACGTTGGGTTCATATAGGATTATGACTTTAGTCACGCCATCACGAAAGGAATGTGCAATAATATGTAGTATAGTATAGGTTTCGTAGATGTATGTTTAGCAAATAAAATAACAGTATACAGTTGTTGATCATGTACCTGCGAATTAAAAGCAGCATTGATCAACACATAAGTTATTTTAGGTTATAAGTTAAAAAATTACAAATCGTCAGAAATAGGTCGAGCTCTTTGTAATAATATTGATATATAGGATAAATTTTTTTTTTTGGCCTTTGGTGACAAATAACATATGGATCTTGTAAATAATAATTCTTATCGGTTAAGTATTAAAAAATAAGAAACTTACGGTTTTAAACGTAAAAGATATATACAAGGGGTTATATTAGATATCCACGAAAACGAAAACTGGTTCGCTCCGTCTTACTATCGATTCGTGGATGTAAGTTTAGGCTAAGTGTACTTTAAGTTTGATTTTGATTTTTTTTTTTTTTCTAAATTTATCTATTCAAATGTATTGGCATTATTGCCCTTACCCTTCAACGATAAAATAATTATGATTTTTGTTCACGATGTGACATCTTAACAAAATTATTTATAGGTTAAGTCTTTGTATATAATTTTCTTCAATAAGTCCCACGGAAACGCGTCACGGTTCGTTCCGTCGCGTCTTTGAGTGGGCATGGAACTTGTTGTTTGACAGCAAATATGCCTACATATTTTATAATTGATTACGAGAATGAAAAATGTCTCGTTTTCAAAATATTTTTAATTGTTTAAGTTTGATTTCTATAATAGTAGTACCTATTTTTATTATATACAATTTGTTTTTTATATAAAATATTATAAAAATAAAAAAACAAAAAAAACATAAAAATTAAAAATTAATATAAAAAAAAAAAAAAAAAAAAGATTTATTTCTCATTAACTTTAGAAACCCACCTAAACGACTGGCGACTCTCGTTGGCATGTCTTAAGGCGGCTTTAAGGTAAGGCTAAGTTTTCAAGAGTGTTTGACCTTTATTGTCTTCACTCGATCGTGTTTTTATTTCAAATTCACTAATTATAGTTTTTGATAACGACGTGACAGATTAACATAATTATTTATAGGTTAAGTCTTTGTATATAATTTTCTTCAATAAGTCCCACGGAATTGCGTCACGGTTCTTTCCGTCGTCTCGTTCAGTGGGACGAGGACAAAATACGAATCAATATAATTAAATTTTAAATTAGTGATGACGAGAATGAAAAATATCTCGTTTTCAAATAGTTTTTTTTCGTTTTTTTTTTTTAATGTTTAAGTTTGATGTGTTTAATATTACCTACCTATTTTTATGGCATACAATTTGTTAAAAAAAATTTAGTCTTACGAATCTTTTAATTATTATTTCCTATCAGTTAGGTATTAAAAAATAAGAAACTTACGGTTTTACACGTAAAGAGTTGACACATGAATATTATTAGATATCCACGAAAGCGCAAACTGGTTCGCTCCGTCTTCCTATCGTTTCGTGGATGTAAGTTTTTTTTTTTTTTTTTTTTTTTTTAATTTTTTTTTTTTAAAT